GCTCACGCTGACCGCACGGTTACTATTCCAATATGGCGTTGGGCTCTGATACTATTCCAACATGGTGTCCGCCTCAGGTGCTCTCATTTGGGCCAACTAATTACAAACAGTGTCTACACCTAAGTGGGTGAGTGACACATTTGCATATCGGAGTCCCCGCAAGAAAAACGTTTCTTCGCTTTGCGTATCCACGAGTTTAAAAAGGGTAACACTTCCGATACACTAAACTGTGCAATGACAAAACATAACGCAAAAGAGCGCTCGATTTGTTGAGATGATACGCCAAAATTGTTTGAGGATGATAATTGAATAAATCAAAGCTGCACTGAACAGGGATTTCTTCATGGGAAACATGTCATTACAAGCAGGTCTTATGAGCATTTTGTAACAGAATTTGTAGGCTTTGTCAGGCAAAATCAGTATTGCATGCCTGAAATAGAGCACTTAACTTTCTGGAATCAAAGAAGCAAATTGTGATATGACATCATGAATGTGCTACACCAGGAAATTATGGATCTTCAGAAACATGCAATTTCCAAGAAAGTATGGGGTAAGGGATGGAATGCAATAAACAAAACTCAAAAGTATAAATTTCTCAACCTTTGTTCTGTCTTTCTATGCCATTTATCATTTCCTTGCATAGGTGTAGGAATTGGTGGGAAAATTCAGGTCACGTGACCTTCGTGACCCCTAGAAAAATACAACTTTCAAGTATGCGGACAGTAAGTGTTAAGGTGTATGAGAGCTGTATTGTTAATGCTGTTATTCAAAATGTGTGTAGTAAAGTCTACAAAAGCGTGACGAAGCGTGACATATAATTTTAGAACAACACTGATTACACAATAATAACCGATAATATGATCTTTGTATGATCCTTTGTTTAAGTAAGCGTGAAACTATTTGAGTACGTGTCGCAGAATATAGTTCGTGTTTTCCGTCTTTAAACACGTAGGAAGGCTAGTTCCTTCTAGCAACAAGTTTCAGCGTAGGATTCTGCTCGCTTAAACGCTTAGTTCCACAGGATTTACGTAAGTAATCACTCATATCTGTGAAATTGTGGTTATGTCGTAATTAAGTTGTTTATCCCAAATTATCCCAAAGGAAACTCCTTGTATCTTCTGTATTTTCTATCACGTATTAGTTATCTACCATCATGTATATAAATACATTGATTCAAGCAATAAAGGAGATTCAGTAGATTGTACAGCAGTTGAGTGTGTTCCACTCCACGAGTGTGCTCCGATAAGCCAAGAGCGAGCCCAAGCATCGCAACAGTTTGACTCTAATCAACACTTGGCCGTGTTTTTCACTACACGTGAAAGCAATTGATGGAACTAAACCAACAAACTTCCCATGTGCCTGGTGGATGCTCCACCAACCTAGTATTGTTTCTTTCAGACTATGCAGATGAGGTTGGTAAAAAATGTGGACCCCTCAATCTGGACCCCCTTATTTTTCTTCCCGAAAATACGGGCTCTATTTAATCATTGGCAGAATGTGAAGAAATAGTGAATTCACGCAGCGTTGTGAGTGATATGATGGAATACTGAGAAGTTTGCCTATTATTTCATTTATGACCACAAAAAAAGGTCTTCAGGGCATCTTTATAGAAAGAGAAACGTGGATTATGGCATAAAGGGATTGGGAAAAACTCTTGGTGTACAGCTGTTAGGTTTGAAAAATGTAATTAACAGTGTTCACAGATTCATTCATTGATCTGCATTTCTTGTCACTTTAATCAATTGCCACTTCCCTTTGACATATGCTTTTGTGCTTTGCGGAGGTTGATAAAAATTTTTCCTTCTAAGCTGAACGGGCGCTTCCTGTTAAGGCCATGGTTGAGGCGTCAATTACTTCCTTGCAAACTCCACTGATGTGGTATAGCAGAAGCATATTAGGAAAAAGTAGAAATACGCTCTGGTAATACAACTGTATCGAACTGTAGGTACAATTCACAATGTCCAGTAAAAGATTATGCACTTGTTTGTGCCATGGTAACCTTTTATCCCGGTTTAAGTTCAACGAAATGCAGACTATAGCAACCAATCACTTTTTTTCCGTAACCCGATTAATCGTAACTGATAACTTTGAAGTAACCTGGTGACCGGTAACTCTATTTGTCATTGTTGTTTGTTAACTTAAAAGCTAATGTTACAAAATTGTCAATTGAGTTTAGGTGTTGTACATAACTATCTGAACAACCCCTCAATATGTGCAATGTTTGAATTTTTGCGCTGGCCCTACAAAGAAAGAATCTTGTTCATGAGAGGTTTTGGTGTATACAGCAGAGAGAGAAAAAAGATCTTCAGACAAAACTCTTTGCTCTGTGGGATAATTCTACCTATGCTACAAGCAAAGAAATACTAAACCCGATAGTGTGCTCTTAAAGTAATGTCCCAGTAGCCATTTACAAAATTGACTCCAAAATTGACTCTAGGCAATGAGTAACTAAATTAATAACTAAGTGCAATGAAGAACTAAAACAAACATTTCTTTTCAGAATGGAGGGT